TGCTCCTATGATGCTGCTTGGCCTGCTGTGTTCATCCAGCTCTACACCTTGTTATCTCAGATTCTCCAGCATCTGCAGTTCCTACTATCTCCCATCTCTTGTTTCTTGCCTTTCTGTTTTGTCCGAAATCACTTGATATTTCCACAAACAGCAGGCTTACAGAACATATTAAACTGTTGAACTCACTCAATGCCAAAACCCGATTTAATGTAGAAAATGTCCAAGCATTTTATTTATTCACTCGTAGAACATGGGCATCACTGGCTGACCAGCATTTATTGCCCATCCCTAGTTGCTCTTGAAAAGGTGGTGGTGAGCTGCCTTTTTAAACCACTGCAGTCCATGCAGTGTAAGTTGACCCACAATGCCCTTAGGGAGAGAATTCCAGGATTTTGACCCAGTGACAATGAAGGAACAGCAATATATTTCCAAGTCAGGTTGACGAGTGGCTTGGAGGGGAACTTGCAGGTGGTGGTATTCCCATGTATTTGCTGCCCTTGTCCTTCTAAATAGAAGTGGTTGTGGATTTATAAGGTGCTGCCTAAGGATCTTTGGTGAATTTCTGCAGTGTATCTTGTAGATAGTACACACTGCTGCAACTGAGTATCAGTGGTGGAGGGAATGAATGCTTGTGGATGTTGTGCTAATCAAGCTGTCTGCTTTGTCCTCGAAATTGTTCCACATCTTCCACTTCCAGTCCTCAAGGAGAAACATGCATTCCCACCTCTCTGGAAGACATAGGACTGCACCACCTTACCCTCCGTGTAGTCTCTGTTTAGTTTTTGAGGATTTCAATTTCAAAATAACCAACAGCAAAGCTTCATCCTTCATACGAGGTAAAAAGTAAATTTGTTAAAATTATTGCAGAAAATCAATCTATTACAGAGATGTTTTTGCTCACATTTAGGGCAGTTGGAACTTGAAAATAGGCCATCAGGCACAGATGTCAGGACACTAGCACTGCACCACAAAAGGCCTTAGAAATTATATCTATCTGAAGTGATAGCTAAGATACTTATACAAGGATCTTAAGTAAGAAAGGATAAGTGAAGATGAAAATGCGATCAGTCTTTACCATCTGCATTCCTGGATTGCTGAAAGAGACCTTCTGAAATCAAGCAGTTGGAATTTTGAAAGTCAAAATTCAGCAGCTATGATGGTTTCTATGATTGAATAGATGAAGATTGCTCCCACAGGTAGACTAAGCAGAACAGGTTTGGGAGTGAGTGAAGCTTCCTTAGTTTTGGTTTTACAGCAGAGCAGTTTGTGGCTCTTGGTTAATTTTTGATATCCTTTACTGCTACAAACATTGTGTATGTCAAATTACTGCTGGTGTATTTTTCCCAGCTGAATTTTCTTACAGCCTTCAGATGCTGTAATAATCCAGGAGTCTATGATTCCAGCAACTGTAATGTTCCTCCAATTATTGCATAGATTGTTGTAATAAACTTGTATAAGTTGCTGCCATTCAACATATTTGACAGTGATTGGGCTGAGGTTAGAGCAGAACCAGATGGCAGCTATAATATGCCCTGTATATGCCACATATTCTTTTGTGCTACTGTGTACTGAGGGGAAAAGCATTGTTTTTCCTTTAAATCTTCACACACAGTGAGGACTACCTTCAGTACATAGTTATGTGACGCTAAAGCATTTGAACTTAGTTTATCTGTTCCGGCTAAGGCATTAAAAGCATCTTGAATATTTCTAAGATAACAAGGTGTAGAGCTGGATGAGCACAGCAGGCCAAGCAGCATCAGAGGAGCAGGAGAGCTGACGTTTCGGGTCTGGACCCTTCTTCAGAAAAACTGATACTGCTTGGCCTGCTGTGTTCATCCAGCTCTACACCTTGTTATCTCAGATTCTCCAGCATCGGCAGTTCCCACTATCTTTGAATATTTCTAACCTGTGTTATTTAACCAAATGTCAGTTTGTTAATTACATGACTCATGTCTGGATTATCTGGTTGTGCGGTTGCATTGTGTGTGGAAATTGCCTGGAACTTTATTGATAGTGAATTGTCCCTCAAATCTACAGCCTTGTCCATTATTTAGAGGCTGTTTCATGGAGTTATCAATGTGGCCAACTTCATGCTTTCCCATTTTATCTTGTATATCTAATCCAACTACACCACATGAAAGGCTAGGTAAACTGATATTTATACTCACTTCAGTTTTTCCTCCACTATGTTCATCAGAGTCATCAATGTACAATTCATTAGCTTAGTTCAATACCATATTCCTGGATACCGTCCTCTCTCTCCCTGTTGAAATGCTTGAGTGACTGCTTCAGGATGTTTTCTCATGGTCTCTGCAAATCATGGTTACTCACAGCCAGGTTTTTATATAGATCAACAATTAAACTATCCAAAAACTGTTGCATCATCTTTGCATCTTTCAATCAATATCATCAAAAATAGCTTAGCTACCCCTTCATCTTACTGCTGCTGGAGATTTATTGTGCCATATTCCTGCATGACAATCTGGACTGTGAAAGAAAATAATTTTGTGGTGTACTTTTGAGGTTTAATGTGATAGATTTTGGCCTGAATGTTAATATGTATGTTATTTTATTTTTACAATTGTGCAAATCTTAGCAAGGGCCGTAACATCCAAGGAAAATCTGATTCCTCTTTTTGATTTACTTTTCAGACCATGGAATTTACAGGAGTACCATCTGTCCCACTGATGATCGGATGTGGAATTGCCTGTATGGCTCTCTTAACATTGCTTGCTGTATACGCTGCCTTTTGGAGGTACTATATTATCAACCTAGTAATGACATACAAAATGCCAAATATTATAACTGCACAACAGCAATATTGCTTTGTGTTTGATCCTGATCATCATGTTCTTGTTATAACCTGGTGCTGGAGTATTAATTAACACATTAATCAAAGATTATAGTGGTTTAGTTATCACCAAGACACTTTTTAAGTGCTTATGATTACAATGAACCATTTATATCTTTGATATTTCATCATCCAAATTTTACCTTCCTTCAAGCTACAATAATAAGCCTGGCTCCTCTGTAACAAATGTTAATGCATATTGAATGCAGACTCACTAGTTTTATTCTGCTGAATAGTAATTTTTGATAGCTGTTGGCTCAATTTGCAGCCATCATAGATTTTGTAGAAGTGATTGGAGACAAGCATGTTGGGCAATTGACAAGCGATGAATTACAACTAAAGTATTCAAGAAAGATAGTTTCTTGTTTTGTACTTTTTTCAGCTTGTGTATGTATATTTATGTATTCTGACTTTATCTCTGTCAGTCAGGGAATTCAAAGCCAACAGAAATATTGAATTAAATCTGACCATAATAGTTTCCAACCACTTAACTGAGTGATCAAGTTTCAGTGATTAGTGTTATATTCAGTGGTACTGCAAGAGAACAATTAAATTCATAATTAGAGTAGGTAGACTGTTTGTACTGAATCCTGTTTACTTATCTGCACATTAAATAGATTTGTCAGTAACTTTAGAGTCTGTCCCTCAGTTTGACAGACAATTTATTCGTCTATCTATGAAGTCAGAAATGTATTTCAATAAAACAGAATACAGGGTCAGGATTCTATCTTCCATCTCTGGTATTCACTCGGATGAAAGCAAAACACTGCTGAGGCTAGAAATCTAAAAAACATAGCAAATGCTGGAGAAACTCAGTAGGTCTGGTAGCATTTGTGTAGAGAGAAGCAGAGTTAATGTTTTGAGTTTACTATGACTCTTCTTCAGTACTGAAAAATGTTGGAAAATGTTTGTATATATACTTTTGACAAAGATGCAAGGGTTGTTAACAGTGGAGAAAGAGAGAGAAGATGTAAAACTGTAACATAAGGCATGAAAGGGAGAGAATAGGTCCTACTACGAACTGCAAAGTGAACAAAGGATTAGGAAGGTGGCAGTGGCACAAGATGAAAGAGACTTGGAGATCAGACATAATGCAGTCATTTTCTGAAGTTATGGAATTCAACATTGAGATCTTGAGGCCGTAAATTGCCTTAGTGAAAAATGAGGCATTATTCCTTGATCTTGCATTGTGCTTTGCGGGAACAATGCATCAGGCTCTGGACAGAAATGTTAGTATAAGAACAAAACAATTTATTTAAAACGGCAAGCAACTGGAAGGTCAGGGTATTCCAACAGACAGAATGGAGGTGTTCTGCAAAGCAGTCACCTACTCTGCGCAACACCGTCACTCTATCTGTAGTAATGACCTGACCTCCCAGCTGCTTGCTATTTCAATAAACTACCTAGTTGTCATGCTAACATTTTTGCACTGGGCCTGCTAAAGTGTGCCAACAGAGCACAACACAAGCTCAAAGAACAACACTTCAGTTTCTACTTAGGCATTTTGTAGCCATAAGGTCTCAATATTGAATTCCATAAGTTCAGAAACAGACCGCATTATGTTTATCCTCCATTTTCGTACATTTTCTTCCCCACCAACCCACACAACCTTATTTGTGTCTTGTTCTCTTTACTCTTTGTAGAAAGGACATTTTCTCTCCCTTCCACGCCTTAATCTTTATTGTTTTACATCTCCTTGTCTCTTTCTCCACCATTAACAACCACCTTGTGTTTTGCACTGGGCAACTACCTCTATCAAGAGTATATTTTTTAAAAATTCCAATACCTTTCAGCTCTGCGGAAGAGCCATTTCAGACTTGAAACATTAACCCTGTTTCTCTTTCCACGGATGCTGCCAGATCTGCTGAATTTATCCAGTATTTTCTGTATTTTTTTCAGTTTTCACAACATGTATCTAAGCAAAGATAACAAGTTGTAGAGCTGGATGAACACAGCAGGCCAAGCAGCATCAGAGGAGCAGGAAGGCTGACGTTTTGGGCCTAGACCCTTCTTCAGTTCCTACTATGTCTATGTATCTAAGCAGTTGTCATGACTCCAGCTGATGGAATACTGGACAAGTCAGATTCCAAATTGAATAAAAGCAAAATACCATGGATGCTGGAAATCTAATGCTAACCCAGAGAAAGTTGACTAAACTCAGCAGTTCAGACAGTAGATGTGGATCAGTATCAGCACGTTCTATTCTGAAGAAGTCATATCAGATTTGAAATGTTAATTGTTCTTCTTTCCACAGAAGCTGCCAGACCTGCTGATTGCTCTAGCATTCGCTGTATTTGTTTCAAATCCAAAACAAAACCTGGCTTGATTGATCATAACTTTTATTTTTAGAATTTGTTTATTATGGTACTCACAATTGAACCTTTTCCTGATAGGCATCAAATATTCTTTTCTTAAAAGTACAAAGTTTATTACTCATAAATGAAAATAAATCACTAACTATATCACACTATACAAACTAATTGAAATAATCTTGTTAAAAATATCCGAAATAAAATTCAACCCTTTTACTCTCGACAGCCATCTTACAGATATCCTAAGGGTCATCCTGACTTCACTTTAAGGCTCATTGTTCAGTTGACACAGCATTCCTTGGTCTCTTTCACCAAACTTCTGCCTTCACACTATGCTGTGTTCTTTAATTAATGTCTGTTCATGAGACTGTTAAACAAACTGTTAATGCACTTCACTTAATTCTTCATATATGTTCCTACAACACCTTGTAGGATACATTCCTCTCCAACAACTTAAAGACTTCTGTTTTGAGAGTTTTTCTTTAAATCTCTTATTATCTTTTAGTCCATTCTGAACTTCTTTTCTTCTACCCTGACAGTTTGGGAGACTCATAACTGCTGTTCTGATGTTACAGGTCTTTTCTCTCTGAATGACCTTCTCCTTTCTCAGAAAGAAACTTGCACACTCACTGACCTTCTGAACGGTTCTCTCTTTATAAACGGAAATTAGTTACTGTCAATGTCTCCCTGTGTCAGCGGACAGTTTCTTGTTGGACGACAGCCCAATCTTTTTCCTCACTTCTGACCTTGTCTTCTAAAGCACTAAACTATTCAATTTATTTTTTTAGAAGTTTAAATTTAAATGTATATACACAAATAGTGGCAGTTTGAATTTAACCCTGATAAGTGTGAGGTGATGCATTTTGGAAGGAGTAACAAGACAAGGGAGTCCTTAATGAATGGTGAGACACGAGGAACCTCAGAGGAACAGTGGGATCTTGTGGTGCAGTCAACAGATGTCTGAAGGTAGAAGGACAGTTAATTGGGTAGTTAAGAAAGCATTGAGATACTTGCCTTGATCAGTCTAAATATAGTTTATGAGAACAATGAGGTTATGTTGGAACTTTGGTCAGGGCACAGCTGGAGTGCTGTGTGCAGTTCTGGTGACTGCACTGAAGAAAGGATGTGATTGCTCTAAGAGAGGATGTAGAGGAGATTCAGCCGGAATATTGCGTAGATGGAGTGCTTTTGCTTTGAAGGGAGGCAGGATAAATTTGGGTTGTTTCCTTTGGAGCAGAGAAAGCTGAGTGAGGACCTAATTGAGGTATATAAGATTATGAGGGGCAAGGACAGGGTGGATAAGAACCAGCTGTTCCCCTTTCTTGAAGGGTTAGTTACAAGGAGGCACATATTTAAAGTGAAAGGCAGGAGGTTTAGAGGGGAGTTGAGGAAAAATATTTTCACCCAGAGGGTGGTAGGGCCTGGAAAGCACAGGAAGGGTAGTTCAGGTGGATAACCTCACAACCATTAAAGGATACTTGAGTGAGCACTTGAAATGTCATAGCATTAAAGGTTATGGGCCAATTGCTAGAAGTGAGATTAGTGTAAATTAAGCATGGTTTTGAGTTTTGATGGTATGCACTCAATTGGCCAAAGGGCCTCTTCTTTCCAGTATGTTTCTATGAAATTTCCATCGAACCCAGTACCGTTCTCAGAATTAAAACCTGAAACAATGTCTCCCCTTTTTTATTTCACATGATATAGAAATATAAATCAAACTTAAAGTTGTATATGGCTCTGTCAAGTTGGAACCAAAGTGTCTAAATAATAACAATAATTATCATGAACCTTCATCAAAAAATGAACAGATAAGGGTGTGTTGGTTAATAGGGCACACAAAGTCCACTTGTGGTAATGGTCATTGACGTTAAAATTCCAAATTCTTAACATCCATCTCACAATCAAGATTTGAATGAAAAGCTTTATCATCAGCCTCATTTAAAGAGTGGTTCATGCTATCAGGAGTACAGCAGTTCAGTATTCAGAATTCCATTTGGACAATCAGAAATGAGGTGATCTTAGCAGATTTTTGTTTTAGTTGGAACGTTCTTCTTTGAGCAAAATACTGACTGAGATTATATTATCAGAGGCAACCAACTGATGAGCTTGACCACATTTGTCAGTCTGAGAGAACTGAAACAATATGCAGAGTGAGAACAAAATTGTTGTTGGAGACTAGGATAAATAGTCTTCACTCTATTGATGTTAATTAAGCTAGTTTTTGCTACTGGCATCAAGCAGTTGGAGTCATCTGTTAACTATCCAATCTTATCAAATAAGTATGGAATTCTGGAATTCAAAGCCCATTGATATCAAATTAATATATCCCATAGGAACATAACAAAGAATTGAACCTGAGATCTTAATTTTTGTTGCACAACTACCCATTTTATAAATATGGAGTGTTCAGTACTGTCCATCGTATAAAATTCTAATGAAAATGATCCATCCTACAGCTTACTGAAGCAAATGACAATAAGTTACCTAATGGCAATTTCACTTCTGTCCCGTTTCATGCTTGCCCAGTAAACACTAAAATAAAAATTTCCCTTTGGCAGGACAGTGAGTAGTTTTCTGCTATATGGAGAGAGCAGAAGTCATCAATTTGTTGGAGAACCTCCTGCTTATTTAGAATTTGGCAAATTGTGCAATCAGCTTAAATCTTTATCTCCCATATATACAAGCTAATTTCACATTGTATACATACAACCCACTCTCACTTGCATATGTATATCAAAACAAATGAAGTATTGGTCCAGATTTTGCTGTTAACAACAAATTTAAACGCACTCAGCCTTATTCATGCGTAAATTCTCCAATATCTTCTGGTAAGGAAGACACAACACTGTGAAGTGCAAATTGGCACAGTTGTGAGATGATTTGTGCTGCTTCATTAACCTTGTGAAAATCATGGTTAGCTAATAATAGTCCCATTAGTTGCTTGAAATTGCTGCTTTTGCACATTGATTACCAATTAAGCTTTCTGGAGAAAGCTAAGATTGATCCTTAACATTGGTAAGACCTTATTATTAACAATATTTGTTTTTGTGCAGTGCTACTTTTTTAGTCTCTCATTCAAATCTTTCTTCCCTCACTTTATGTTTTTCACTTTACCTGATTTGACACCAAATCACCCGTTCTTTTCACTTCAGTAACTCTGTTCTTTTTCAATCTCTGAATCTCTTTGGTAAGTATTTTCGTTCTATTGTTCATTGAGGTCCCAGTCCCAGAAAAAGTCTAACTAACAGGGCAAATTTCAGAAAAATTCTGGATCACTTTGTCAGGCAACCTCTGCAATTCCATTCATTTCATTTTATGAAACATTCCATCAACTTCTCAAAGCAGAGGAAATACTTATTCTAATTACTTTCACAGGACAAGATAATTTGTATAAAACATTGGTTCATCTTTAACGTAAATTTTGTAACCAGTTCTAGATATGATACTTTTGGAAAAATTTTAAGGCATTCGAGAGAATGCAGAAAGGATTCATGAGAATAGTTTTATATGTGAGGAACTTCAGTTACATAGATAAATTGGAGAAGCTGGGATTGTTTTCTGTGGAGAAGATTAAGAGAAGATTTGATAGAGATGTTCTGGAGGGTTCTGGACAGAGTCAGTAGAGAGGAATTGTTCTCACTTGGAAGTTACAAGAACAAAGGGGCACAAATGATGTGGAGGTGTTGGTGTTGGACTGAGCTGGACAAAGTTAGAAGTCACACAACGCCAGGTTACAGTCCAACAGGTTTATTTGAAATCACAAGAGGGTACAAATTTCAGATAATTGACAAAAGAGACAAGAGAGGCATTATAAGAAACTTTGTCACATACGAAATGATTAGGATCTGAAATGCACAGCCTGAGAGTGTAGTGGTGGCAGATTCAATCATGGCACTTGAGGGAATTGTATTATTATCTAAAAAGGGAGAATCCATAGCCACTGCATCTTTTAAGTCAGAAGTTGACTTTGCATACATGGAGTCCATCTCAATGAATTCTCAAGTTAGCAAAAGCTACAATGAATTCTTAAATTAGCAGACATCGAAATCTGACATACATCAACTAAGCTAAGAAGCTCCTCTCCCTGACAAAATCAAGAATCCGTGCCAAAATAAACCGGAAATTTGCAGCATACCATGCAATTGCTAACTTGTCTATATTGGAGAGATGGACATCAGCACATGAGAGTCAAGGAATATCAAACCTGCTTCAAACTTAGTAAATGTGATAAGTCAGCTATCGTCAAGCACGCTCAGCTTAATAATCAACACGTGCAATGATCAAATTCTCAAATAATCTCATTTTGAACTGGTTTACAAGAAACAAGGGAAGTCACGCATATCTACACTGATCTCAAGATAGCAGCCTTCTCATCAGTGTCATCTGGGTATCTTTGCTCAAGAAGCACATTATCATCCATTCTGCACAATCTAACCAATCAGCAGCGAGAAGATAAAAATTACAAATACAATAGCCTGACCAGCCTGCATTGCATCCCACCCATCTTCCCATCTTGCATTATATACAACTGTCTCTTTCATTTGTTCCAGTAATCCTTGTAGACAATGAGTAGAGTACACTGCCTGAAGTGTAAGACCTGACAGTTCTTCTGAAGAATTCTTAAAGTGATGACTCTTCTTTTGAGAGCAGTTATACACGGTGTAACCAACCATCAGTTATCTTACTATTGCTTCGATACAGCCTATTATTTAAAAGATTTATGTGCATGGACGTTGTGCCCCTTCATCCATGTTCACACTCCCTCTCTTGCCATCCTTACTGCTTATGTCAAAACGCAGCACCACACACTTCTCTACATTAAATTCCATTTGTCACTTGTTTGCCCATTCTGCTAGCCACTTTATGTCCTGTTGCAGCCCACTGTATCATCCTCACTATTTGTTACATTGCCAAGCTTGGTGTGAACAATTTTGCTTTTTTCACAGATTAAGATTTCAACATTCCTAGCAATGAACTTGGAATACCTCTGTCTACCATCCTCTGGTCTGAAATGCAAATGGTGACTGCAAATCATTGTTATCTGTTCTTAAGCCAAGCTGGCGTGATCCTCTGATTCCACAAACCTGAAATTTTGTTTAAGGAGCCTTTTACATGAGACTTTGTCAAATGCTTTCTTACTGGCTTAAATGCACATAAATAATGTCCATTGCTTACCCTTCATCTACATTTTCTACAAAATTTGAGGTTCATGGAATTGGAGGATCAGTGCCAGCTTGGCTTCAATACACGTAAATAATGTCCATTGCTCATTCTTCACCTACATTTTCTGATATCTCATCAAAAAACTCATTTGAATTTATCAAACAAGAGCTGACTTTTACAAATCAGTGCTAGCTCTCCTAAATTAAGGGCCTGTTGATTCTTGATTATTGTTTAAAAACTTACCCACTGATGCCAAACTGACCACCCTGTATTTACAAGGAATGTGCTTAGACTGTTTCTTGAATAAGGGTGACACATTTACTCTTCAAACCTCTGGCACCTCCCATATATCAAAGGAAGATTGGATGATTATGCTAAACCCTTCTGGTGTCTCCACTCCTACTTTATTCAATAACCTGATGCAAGCCATGCAAGTAATGTATCCACTTTAGGTATAGTTAAACATTCCAGTAGTCCCATCTCTCTAGTTTTCAGCCATCCATCACCTCTGCATTTCCATTTCTACCAATATTTTGTCAGCATCTGCTTTCTTAGTAAACATTGATACAGAATACTTATTAAATATTTTACCCTGCCTCTGTACCTCCAATAAATATCACCCTTTTGTCCCCAATATACAGAACATGGAGTCATTGAGAAAAACATTTAAGATGAATCTAGCTAAGTAAATGGAGGAGTATGGGAAATAATAATATGTTGATTAAGTTAAATGAATTAGGATGCAAAGAAGCTCATGTGGAATATAAGGACTAGGATGAACCCATTATCCTGACTGTAAATTGTGTGTAATTCTATGTAAATGCTCAATTGCATAAAAAATTTTAATCACAGAATTATGTTGCATATATTATACAATTTTTTATGATCTGTTGTTAATTATGTTTTCACAGATTCATAAAATCAGAGCGATCCATTATTCTACTCAACTTTTGCCTGTCTATAATGGCATCGAACATCCTTATTTTGGTTGGTCAAACACAGATACACAGCAAGGTAATAGCAAAAGAGAGTATTTATAACACAAATAAATTAATTGGTGAAGCAGAACTACTGAAATTAATGATCCAAGGTCATTGAAAAATTCAGTTTGACGTGATATCATACAGTTGAGGCAAGATAGTTTCCATTGTCACAGCCACACAGGATGGCATTTGTGACCTTGACAAGGATCATTTTGGTACTGTGGCAGAGTCAGAAATCAGATTGGTAGGATGAATACATGAAGCTCAAAGAGAAATGGACTTGGATTTGGGATGCTGCAACACATTTAAGCAATTTGGAGAGGAAAGGGAGGTGAAGATGAGGCAGTAATTTGCAAGGATTAATACATAAGAAACAAAAGCAGACTGCTGGAAAAACAGCAGGCCTGACAGCCTGTGGAGAGAGAAGACAGAGTTAACATTTAAAGTCCCGTGACCCTTCGCGGAAACATTAACTTTTCTGCCTCTTTCTCTCTCTCCAGAATTCTGTCTCTCTCCAGCACTCTGTTTTTGCTTCATATTTTCAACATCTGCAGTTCTTTGTTTATATTATCTGAGGTGTTTTATCTTGACAACTTTAGCTTCTTGAAATCTATTTCTTTCTTAAATATGAAGAATACAGTGACTTCACCTTGACAGCACTCTGTGGTGGGGAATTTCACAGTTCACCACCCTCAGTGAAAAGCTTTCTCCTTATCTCAATTTGAAATGGCCTATCATATATCCTAAGATTGTGATCCCTTGTATTAGACCGACCGACAACGAAAATATCATCCTTCCATCCAGAGTGTCCAGCCTGTCAGAATTTTATATGTTTCAATTAGATCACCTCTCATTCTTCTGAACACTAGTAAATATGGCCCAGTTGACTCAACTGTTCCTCATGCAACAAACATGCTATTCCAGGAATAATTCTGTTGAATGTTTGCTGCACTCCCTCTGTGGCATACATGTCTTCTTTCAGGTAAGAAATCAAAACTTCACACAATATACTAGGTAGGGTCTTGCCAAAGCCCTGTAGAAACTTCTTGCTCCTTTACTCAATCTTTGGTAATGAAGACCAATTTGCCTTTCTAATTGTTTGCTGCAACTGCATACATATTTTCAATGACTGATGTCCAAGTTCCTTTTCCAACTCGTCATCATTTAAGTAATTCTGTGCCTTCCTTTTATTTCTTCTGAAGTGGACAACTTCACATTACACTGCATTTGCTCACTCACTCAACTTATCTAAATCACCCTGCAGCCTCTTTATATCTTCCTAACCACTTGCAGTCCTGGCTAATTTTGTGTCATCAGCGAACTTGGAAAAATTACATTCAATTCCCTTATCCAAATCATTGACACATATTGTGATAAACTGATTCCCAAGCATAAATATCTGCAGTACCCCACTTGTTGTTTCCATCCATTGCTGAAAATAACTGTTTATTCCTAGCCTATAATTCCTGTCAACTGACCAATTCTCAGCCCGTGCCAGCAAATTATCCCCAATCCAATGTGCTTTGATTTTACACATTTACCTCTTATATGGGACCTTTCTCAAACATTTTCTAAATATTCATAAACACCATATCCACTGGTCCTTCTTCATCCATTCCACTAGTTAGGGTTTTCAAAAAACTCCAGTAGGTTTATGAAACATGGTGTCCTTTTCATAAATCTATGTTGACTTTTGTTATACTGTGGTAATTTTTTAAGGGTTCTGTTATCACATCCTCTATAATAGAGTCCAACGTTTTCCCTACTACTGATGTTAAACTAGCTAATCTGCAATTCGCAATGTTCTCCCTCCCTCCTTTTTAAAACAGTGGGGTTACATTTTCCGCCCTTAAATTTGCTGAGACTATTCCACAATCAATCGGGTTTTGGAAGATGGCAATGAATGCAATCATTATTTCCATGGTTGCCTCCTTTAGTAACCTGGGATGAATATCATCAGGCCCTGAGGATCTATAAGCTTTTAGTCCTATTAATTTCTATAGCACTTTGTTTTATTCACATTAATTTCCTTCATTCCTCCTTTACAAAATACCCTTGCTTTCCTTACACTTCTAGAATGTGTTTTGTGTCTTCATCTGTGAATACAGAAAATACATAGCTGTTTAATTGTTGTACCATTTCCTTGATCACCAGTATCAAGTCTCCTATTTCAGGCTGTGAGAGCCTACATTTGTCTTGATTAATCTTTTTCTTTTTTATGTTCATCTAGGAGCTCTGACAGTCCGCTTTTGTGTACCTTGTAATTTTCCTCTCGTATTCTATTGTATCCCTCTTAAACGACCACTTGGATCCTTTGATGAGTTCTAAACTACTCCATGACCTCTGACTTGCTCCTCTTTCTGGAAACTTTATATCACTTCTCTTCGGATCTACTAATTTTCTTTTACTAACTATGATTGGGCCACTTTTCCTATTGTGTTCCTTCACCCAAAAGGAATGCATAACTGCCTCAATGCATGCATAATAAATATTAATCATCACCTATACACCTTCATGCTGGGGTTATTCAATCTAATACAACCAATTCACCCCTCATATCTTCAAAGTTTGTTTTTCAGACTTAGGTCCCTAGTTTTCGATGGGACTCCTTCACTTTCTGACCTCATAATGAATGCTATCATGTTATGGTCAAAGAACCTCTCACAACAATATTATTATTTAACCCTTTTCATTACACAAAACCAAATCTAGGATAGCCTGCCCCAAGTTGTTTCCTCAAAGTACTGGTCTAAAAATCTATCTTAAACACCAAGGATCATTTTCCATCTCATCCTCATCTTGACATATACTTCCGGAACTGAGGCAACCAATGATAGATGAGGTTCAAAGTAAGGTCAGCTCAGTAATTTATTAATGCCACCACCCAGATTTTGAATGCTGCACTCTGCTTTGTAAAAGAAAACTAGGCTCTAGTACACCTGTAGACTTCTTTGTAACATCTTTCCAAACTGTACCCCACCAGGGGTTGGAGGTCAAGTGCCCCCAGGGGAGGTGGGGTCTCTCCCTTAGGGAAAGGTTCACCTCAAGCATCCATAAGCAACAGACAACAGATAGCGTCCAGTGATGCTGGACAGGGATTAAACTAGCATTGGTCACCAAGGAGATGTTGGCAAAAAGTATTCCCATTTAGCATCTCATGGAACTACAATAATAGTCAAGGCATTTGTGAGTGGGAGAGAGATATTTGGAGGGTGAGAACTGGTGAGCACCTTGTAATGGTTTGTGAAGAAAATGTGCAGCCCTCTTAGTCTTCTTCACCCTGTTGCCTTTCATGGTCTCCCCTTCCTTGTTGATGCTGAGGTACCAGGACCGACCAGATTCCCGTAGTAAGTACAGGACCGAAGAGTATGTCACGTAGTAATTCTCAAACATGGACTCCTTGAACTTGCATTCAGGTGTGAAGTGCTCCTGTGGAGTTTAAAACAAGATTAACTTCGCTTTCTGATCTCTGGTGTAGCATCTCTCCCCGCCTCCTTCACTTCGAGTTTTGGTTCCCATTGTACTGAAAAATCAAATTCTCATGCTCATGGGCTTTAACTTTCATACTGACAGGCCTCACTGTGTGTCTCTCACTCACAGGCCTCACTGTCCATCTCGCATTCACATCCCTCATTTACCCCTTATCCTTAAACTAAGGCCCCTTGTTCTAGACTCCCCCACCTTTGGGAAAATCCTTCCTGCATCTAACCTGCCCAGTCCTGTTAAATTTTATAGTTTTCTGTGAGGTCCCCACTCATTTTCCTAAATTCCAGTGAATACAGTCCTATTTGACTCAATCTGTCCTCACATGTCGGTCCTGCTATCCCAGGAATTGATTTGATAAACCTTTGCCACACTCCCTATATAGCAAGAACATCCTTCCTCAGATAAGGAGACCAAAACTGCACACAATATTGCAGGTGTGGTCTTATCAACGCCCTGTATAATTGCAGCAAAACATCCCTGTTCTTGGATTCGAATCCTCTTGCTTTGAAGCCAACAAATATGTGGTGTTCTTTACTGCTTGCTGCACCAGTACGCTTGCTTTCAGCGACTGATGCAGGAAGACACACAAGCCTCATTGAACATTCACCTCTTTCAGTTTACAGATATTCGAATAATAATCTGCCTTCCTATTCTAGCAACCTAAAGGCTAGCTCAGTGGTATGTAATAAAGTGCCACAATGATAGTATCCCTATATCTGATCCAGGAGACCTGGGTTCAAGTTCCACCTGCTCTAGAGGTGTGCAATAATATCTCTGAATAGCTTGATTGGAAAATATCTGCAACAAAGTATTTATTTAAAATATATGAAGATAACTTGCAATTCTGATAACATTGTAAAGAATCCTTCAATATTGTATAGTTTTTTCCCAACAGTTAATATGTGATAAAATTGATTTTCTGTATCCATTAGTGGTCTTTGGACCGGCAGTCTATCAAGAATGTAATATTTTAACACAAGGTGTTCCAATGCTGGTTACATTTGATCCTGCACAGAGCATGTGCATGGCTTGTTGCAATTTCTCTTAATGGGGTACTTTAATCAGTTCAATGATTACTAAGCAGCAATTCATAGGTCACCCTGTTTGTCATTGAGAGAGTGAGTCCACGTTTCCTGGTTTGTTTTTATATGTGAAAAATGAACCACAGTGTGTAAGGGGGTGTTCACCTCAAGCATCCATAAGCAACAGACAACAGATAGCGTCCAGTGATGCTGGACAGGGATTAAACTAGCATTGGTCACCAAGGAGATGTTGGCAAAAAGTATTCCCATTTAGCATCTCATGGAACTACAATAATAGTCAAGGCATTTGTGAGTGGGAGAGAGATATTTGGAGGGTGAGAACTGGTGAGCACCTTGTAATGGTTTGTGAAGAAAATGTGCAGCCCTCTTAGTCTTCTTCACCCTGTAGCCTTTCATGGTCTCCCCTTCCTTGTTGATGCTGAGGTACCAGGACTGACCAGATTCCCGTAGTAAGTACAGGACCGAAGAGTATGTCACGTAGTAATTCTCAAACATGGACTCCTTGAACTTGCATTCAGGTGTGAAGTGCTCCTGTGGAGTTTAAAACAAGATTAACTTCGCTTTCTGATCTCTGGTGTAGCATCTCTCCCCGCTTCCTTCACTTCGAGTTTTGGTTCCCATTGTACTGAAAAATCAAATTCTCATATTGCTAAAGTGCTACTGTTAGCTGGATCCTTGCAGTTGGGACCATATGATCTAAGAAGTAGGTCAGCTCAGCTGGAAAAGATGACCAAAATATCTGACCGAGCTACTGACAAATCATGACCATATCTTCAGTTTGAAGTGTGCAGTGCAGTGTTCAAGCATAGCATGACTGTTAATTCATAGTTACCCACAAGTTCATATAATAGATTGTTTAGAATTTCTAACTTCGTTTAGTGAAGCTTGTTTTGTTTGTTCAAAACCATGGCTTTGTTTTCTTGAAATTGTGAGATTTCAGCCTTTAAACACAAAAAAGTTACTGGTCCTAAATTGATCATAATGTAAATTTGACAGTCTTATCCAGGATCATAACATGAGGTAGAGATGGGTGTTGTCAGTGTATATGTGAAATCTGAAGTTGAGCTTCAGTTGATGTAGCTGAAGGGCAGCGTGTGGTTGAGAAATAGGAGGAAGGCATGGAAAATTCCCTGTGGAGCTGCAGAGGTAATGGTGCAGGAACAGAACGAGAAACTATTGCAAAAGCTACTGCAGTTACGACTAGATAAATAGGAACCAAATTAGGCAAGGGCAATCACACTCAGCTGGACAAGGACAGAACTAATGTCATCCATTATTTTACAGATAAAATAACTTGATCAAAATCTGAAATGACCTTTACTCACTTTTTGTGGTTGTTGTCTTTTGGCCATGCTTTTGAAGCTAGAATTAGCACTGCATGTTAGCAATAAAATAGCACACTATCAGTTCCTCACGCTCGGTGCAAGTAAGCAGGGATTGGTTGTTTCTCTGCAAAAAGTGAAAACTGGTTGGAGGGCTATTGCTAGTAGCTCTCACATCCCTCCTTGAAGAATAAATATGCTGGGAAAGGCTTTTCAGGTAGAACCTGCAGAAAGAGAGTTTAGCCTCAAACATTAAAGAACCAGACTACAAATAGTAGTGCTGTTTTACACACTGTGGTTCATTTTTCACATACAAAAGCAAACCAGGAAAAGTGTTGTCCTGCAGCTTTACTTTTGCAATCTGCATGACATTCTCTTTACAAAGATCCACCTGACATGTGGTGGAGAACATAGTTCCCAATGGAAGGAAACGCCTGGGAATTGGGACTAAAACAGATTTGCTACTCATTCAGCCAGTAGCATAAACTAGAAATCCAGTATTTCCAAATGTTCTTGAACTTTATGTAAGTGGATATTGCTTGTGGTGCCCTGCTTATCCCATGTAATTCGAATACTGTTTTTTACTACCACCTGAAATTAATTATTTCATTCAGATACCCCTCTTCAACATTGGTTTCAAAGAGCCAAAGTGGAGAAGTAATGAGATTTTTTTTGCTCCAAAATATTTGTATAAATGTGATGTGAAATCATGGTTATTGAGTACTCTAGTAGAACAACAATAGTGTGTGTAGTCTTATTAAATTGACAAGCGGCTCAGGCTCAGATTGCTTGCATCCTTTCTATAATATGTAAGTGCTTCTCCAGGAGTGCTTGGTTTCTAAAACAGTGAAAGCTGATGTTCTAAATCATTGTTATTTCTTGCTTCTAATGGAATTTAGAACACTATGATCTAACTATAGTGTTAACAATCCAAAGCCTTGAGTGGTTCAATGCCTGAAGCTGCAATGTTCTTGACGAAATTTAAGCCTATGTAAACATAGATTGTGAAATTTGCAGCTCCTCTCTCTGATCTTCATCAATAAAGCTAGGGCTCAGGTGTTTCAAGAGGTCACGGTTGGCCTCTTAACAAAGAATATATAATGAAGATTGGATCAGGCTCAAGGATCTAAATAGTCTACTCCTGTTTCAGTGTTCCTTTGTATTTGCTTTTGGGCAGATTATCACGTAAAATAGAGGGCAGAGCAAAAGAAAAATACTGCTGAACTTTAAGTGGAATATAGCTTCATTTGGCAGCGTAGTTTCTTTGAATTTGAGAAATTTTGGATTTCTTTCATGTTTTATATTGCAGAAATTTATATGTTTAACGCTGACAGTGTGACCCATATATCTTAAATTTTAATTTAGTCCAAAAAACCACAGAAGAGCAACTTGTCTGGTCACTACCTGGAGCAAGTTCTTAATTGTGTTGAAAATTGCATTGTTTGACATTGCATCTGAAATCACAAACTCATTGAAAAATGAAGTCAAGATTCCACCAATAATATCAACCAGAGAAGGTTTTCATCAATTTGTTTAAGTACAGTATATAATATTCAAAGTAATTCTTAATTAAATGGTTCAATACAGTTCATGGAAACAGCAAATTATTTTACATGGGGAGTAACCCTAAATTCACTTTGCAGTGCACTGACCTAAATATACAGATTATAATGATCAACCGACAAAATTATGCTAGTATTACAGTAAAGGATGGTAAGGATTAATCTTGGTTGTTCCTGCCTGTTTCATTCAGAACTCAACAGGCAGCATCCTTTTGTTGGTTTTGTGAGGTATTTCACACTCTGCTTTATCTGTTCCTTAAAACTTTTTTCCTGCTTTTCTCCAGGGAGTGTGCATGATGACAGCAGCTTTTCTACATTTCTTTTTCCTCTCATCCTTCTGTTGGGTGTTGACAGAAGCCTGGCAATCTTATCTTGCTGTTCTGGGGAAAATTAGAACCAGGCTTATAAGGAAACGGTTTCTCTGCCTTGGCTGGGGTATGTGACTCTGTTTATCATTAAAATGCCCTTATCATGTTTGATCTTCAACGGAACTTTTAACATGCTGTCTTACCTAGCCTATATATGATTCCATTTCCACAGCAATATGTTTGACTCTGAACAACTGTGTGACATAGCCTAGCAAGCCATCCAATTGTATCAAATCAGTACAAAATTGTCTACCAATAAAAGTGGACAGACAACTTCACTGTTAGACTTCTGGTATCTAGCTGGTGAAAGAGATCAGTCAATTTTCACTTAGGTTTAAGATTTATTCACAATGTTAAAAGTTACTAATAACATCAATAATATTCACACTATAGTAAATAACTATCATATTTAAGTGTGTTAAATGCTTCTAACTCTATAATACTCCACCAATGTCCTTTTTAATATAGTTAAGTAATAATACGTCTGTACCCACAGCTGTATGCACTTAGCCTTAATTTATAGTTAATCCTGGTTTCACCTTAAGCACCATTCATGAGAAAGGCAGAACCAGCACAGTTGAATCTTCACTAATATTGCGAACTTGTAGCAAAATTGTTAAGCTGCCCCAGAGACTAGGTAATCCATAGTATAACATAGTATAAAGGATATAGATCACAAAAACAGACAATTCAGTTCATCCAGTTTGTGTTCGCATTTATGCTTTACATGAGCCTTTGTCCATCTCCCCTCATCTAAATCTATGATCATAACCCTTTATTTTCTTCTCTGTCATATGTTTGTATATCTTTACCTTACAGGAATTTATAATTTTTGCTTAAACATTCAATGTGTTTGAAAATTTCATGTTCTTAATAGTCTTTGGGTGAAAAAAATTCCTGTCAATTCACTATAGAATTTCTTGACGACTGTCATATATTGATGGTGTCTAGTTATACTCTTCCCCTGAAATTTAAAAATCACGCTGTACTTAGTCTCTTGAAACCTTTCAGAATTTTAAAGACCTCTGCAGGTCACCCCACGGGTTCTTTGTTCAAGAGAAAAGAAATCTGCCTTGCTCATCCTTTCCTACCCACACATTTCTGGTACTTTCCTTGTAATTCTTCTCTCTAGTTCCTCTATATACTTTTTGTAATAGAGCAAATAGAACCGCACAAACTGATCTAAATATGGCCTATCCAGGTTTAAAACAGATCTTGCATTACATGGACAATGGAATCATACAATCATTACTGTATAAAGTAAGTAATTCAGCCCATCATATCCATCCTGGCACTTTACAACAGCAGTTTACCTGATGCTACTCATCTGTATTTTTCCTATAGCCCTGAAAATAAATCCTTTTTGGGTAATGATCCAATTCACTTCACTACTTTTGAATTATATCCCTCTAGAAATGAAATTTTGTATTTGAGTTGCTTTTATTTAATGGTCTTATTAACCTGTGATGCAATTTTTAATGAATACTCGTTCTCCAAGATTCCCTTGTTCCTGTGCCCCATCTCGCTTCTAAATACTAAGTGACCTCCTTATTTCTTCCTACCAAATGTAGTGGCATATATTAAACTGTGTTTAACTTCACTTATTAATTATTTGCATGTTCTGCAAGTTTATTAACTTTTTCCTGTAATATGATGCTTCCCCCACCAAGGTCTATATCATAATGTAAATTGTGAATAGAAGTGATTACAGCACATATCCTTGTGGAGCATCTTCTGCTTCTCTGAATGATTACCCTTTACTCAAGTACGCTGTTTTAAGTCTTGAACTAAGTTGACAATCCATTCTGTCATTTGTCCCCACTCCACATTCTCTGGCCTTCTTCACTGGTCTGACCATGTTAGTGTTAATAGGAGTGACTATCACCAAGTCCTTGTGGAGTTGAAACCCCATCTTCATCCTAATAACACCCTCCATCATGTTGTGTAATATTATCATTGTGCTAATTTGGACAGTGTTGACACTGCTGCCTGAATTCTCTGAGCTTTAATAGATACCAGGCTGGGACAATATAAATGTAACAAAGGGTAACGTTTTGTGACAACCTATTACATAGTAGATAGAAATTCACAGCCCAAAATCTTCTGATCTATGCTGTTTCTATAAAATGTTTATTCTCATATGTGGGAGTTAATGGTATTGAAAATTGCTATGTCATTTTAAATGATCGTGGATACTAAAGAACACAGGTAGACCATGAGGAATGATATTGTGAGTTGATACGACTGTGATAGCCATCAGTTGTTAAAAATAAAGGTTCGGAAACATGCCATTTCTTCATGCAGCTGTTAATTATTTCTTTTAACTCTCAGTTCCTCCCAGCGGTACTGCCCACATACAGCACGGAATTATCATCTATTCTTACGAGCCTTTGGTATGAAACAAAAACAGAAGTTGTTGGAAAAGCTCAGCAGGTCTGGCATCATCTGTGAAGAGAAATCAGAGTTGACATTTCGGGTCCGGTGACGCTTCCTCAGAACTGATGGTAGCTAGGAAAATGTAGGTTTATATGCAGAAAATAGGGAGAGGGATGGGATTAGGAGTAAACAACAGGATAAAGGATAGAATCCAAACAGAAAGAAGGACAATTGGATAGACAAAGGAATGGATAACAATCTGGCTACAAGGTTGAATAGCTGTTAATGGAGACTGTTAGTGGCTAACAGTAGGTAGTATGCAATGGCAGACTATGTGATAGCAAGGCCTGGTGTGTAGGGTAGAACATGGGAGAGTTCAGGCCTTAAAATTATTGAATTCAATATTGAGTCTGGAGGGCTTCAAGGTCCCCAAGTGGAAAATCAGGTGTAGGTCTTCCAGCTTGTACTGAGCTTTGCTGGAACACTGCAGCAAGCCTGAGTCAGAAATGTTGGCCAGGGAAAAGGGTGGTGTGTTTAAGTGGCAGGCAAGTTGAAGTTCAGGGTCTTTTTTGGGGGCAGAATGTAGATGTTCTGCAAAGCAGTCACCCAGTCTACACTTCGTTTCCCCAATGTAGAAGAGACCACGTTGTGAGCAGCGAATGTAGTAGACTAGATTGTGTGAAATCCAGGTAAAGTGATGCTTCACTTGGAAGGTATTTTTGGGCCCTTGGATATTGAGGAAGGAGGAGCTGAATGAGTAGGTGTAACACCTATGGCGTTTGCAGGGGAAGATGCTGTGGGGCTATGGGCGTTGTTGGGAGTGAATGAACAGTGGACCAGGGTGTCCCAGATGGAACGTTCCCTGAAGAAGGCAGACAAAGGGGAATATGTGTCCATTAGTGGCATCTCGCTGGAGGTGGCAGAAATGGCATCTGATGCTCTTCTGGATGTGAGTGCTGGTGGGATGGTAGGTAAGGATAAGAGAAACCCTATCACTGTTGCAAGACGGAAGAGAGGGGTGAGGGTGGACCCGGTCACACCGGTTGAGGGCCCTGTTGACAACAGTGCTGGGGAAAGAGTCATCTAGACTCGAAACATTAGCTCGCATTCTCTCCATGGATTTTGCCTGATCTGTTGTGATCTCCAGCATTTTTTGTTTTCAGTTATGTTTTATATAATTCTTCTAATCCAGCTAATATTTTAAAATCTTTTACTTGAGACTATAAAGGGACCAGTGGTAGTGGATTATTCCATGATATCTGTCCCATAAGTGGTTGTTAGTGCTCTCAAATTCTAGCCTAAATGATGGTTAAGCTTGGTTTATTTATGGTGACCATTGATAATATGACACTGTATATGACTGTTTAATATTTATGAAATGAACAAATAAAATGGCAAATAATGCAACCTGGATCCCAGGCCTGGAGAGATCACTTTCAGCTGTCCAGGCTGTTTGCATGATTTTGTGTTTAACCTGTAGATGCCCCAAACCCCCCAAGATCAATGCATCTCAGAGTCCAGGCCAGGAGGAACCAGCTACAGACTTCAGGTCATTTGCATATGGTTTCCAACCATTCTGAGAACACTTTAACCTTTTAAAATGTTCAATTCCTGACCATTCTGAGGGCACTGAATTTTCAAACTTTCCATTTCTTATTCTGTTTGGCTACTTACGACTGAGTATATTTCTTTGCATCGGATAATCAACTGCAGCCTGTGCTCAAATGTACCATGCCATGGAGCAATCAAATAAACTCCCTATCCTCGATGTATTAGCTGAGATCTCTGACAGTAGGATCTTAACGACCATCCACTAAACATTCACGGTTAATATACGCATTGTAATTCCTACAGTCCAATGTGCTACAAGATCAATCTTATTATCAACCTTGTGAGTGAAGCCCTAGCTGTCTGCTCACTGTTAAAACTTGAAGCTGAGATGCTGCATATCAGAACAATCTTGACTGATAACATATAACCAGATCAAATAATAATTTATTTTAAATCACAAAAATTCCAGAAAGTGCCTCTTCTGCCACCCTTCACTCAAAGTGGTGTTCAGTCTCTCTACGATTACACCAGAATGGGAAAGTATCTCAAGAATTTTGGCAACATGTGAAGTTAGCTATTTCATGCTATTACTGTGCAGTAAATCCTCAAATTGATTTCTCCACTAACGGATGCTATCATCAAGCAATGAAAATGTTTTGTCTATCGCACAAATCAGTAATCTGATATATGAGTTTCAGTGCTGGTGTAAGGCCAGGTATGTACGCCAACTGTTCCAATGACTGGTGGACCATATCAAATAACACCTCCCTTGACTACTGGTAGCAGCCAAAACATCAATCATGCTCAACCAGCACATACTTGCAAGCTCAAAAAACTATATCCACCATTTGATGTGAGATTATGCTAAGAGTTACATTGGAAACCAATTTAAGATCATTAGTCGGCCTCACAGTGTGATGCATTTGTGCACGCTAGAAATTGTATATATAAATAAATGTGCAGGACCCTGTAGGCAAAAGGAAAATAAAAGCCAAAGTTTCGTACTTTTACAAAAAAAAGGGTATTGAGCCAGAGATTCGCTGCTGTATCCCCATGGCAGCACCCTGACCAATCAAAATCTACACATTTGGTCTGAGAATTAAGACCAATAGGTAACTATTCTTGCTGCATCTCTAGGTCAGTGACGCCCAAATCATCTAGCAATCTTCTCTCTCTTAAATAAAACAGAGAACTGCAGATGCTGGAAATCTGAAATGAAAATGGAAATTGCTGGACAACAAAACTGCTCAACAGTTCTGGCAGCATCCTTGGAGAGAAAACAGAGTTAATGTTTCAGCTCCATTGACCCTTCCTCAGAACATAATCTCAACTCAAATATTAACCCTAATTCTAACTGTAATCATAATGCTGTGTAAAATTATGTCCCTTTGTTCAAATCTGTTCCTTGATGCCTAGTCCTGATGAGTGCAAGATAAAAAAAATTTAAGTTATTTTCTTTTTGGCAGTGTTTTATTTGTGTATTTGTACAACAGCATAACTGCAAGTTTGATGAAGTCACTGATAAACTTTATTTAATTTTGATTGTTTAATGCTGTTTTTTTTTACCATTGCACCTGAGCAATGGTCCTTTATCTTGGAATGGGCCATCTCTTGCTCTGGATAATTATTCCTTGTCTAGTTTCCAAACTGTCCTGGCTGACATATTTGTGCAGCAGTTATTTCGTTAAAATAAATGCCAAACATAACATTCTGAGTTACTTTAATCAATGAATATTAACTGTGTTGACAGGTGAGATATCTAATGTTATCATTGTCTTACTTTGGTATTAAATGTCATTCCATTTTTCCAAATGACTAATATGACTCCATCACCCAGTTGAGTTGGAGATGACTCATATGTTAATTGAATTACATTCAACTGCTTCAAAAAGTGGGATTGTCTGATTGGCCCAGTGAGACTGGATGTGATTTACTAACTCGATGTATGATATATGCAAAATTAGATCTTTTATATTAACTTGCTTTCTTATTGCTAATCACATAATGGTGTGACAGTATGTAAAATATCTGGTCAAGGACCTGGTAGGTCATTATTGGGAATTTCATTAGAATTTCGTTTGGGAGCATTAAAATCCATTTTGTCAAAATAAGAAGAAAACATCCTTTTCTTTTCTGGAGTGGTGCTGTAAAATTGTGCAGCAGTTATTCAGCTATCAGTGTGTATTCAAACACAATGCAATCATGTGAAGTACAAGACCTGCTTTCAAAAATGTTTGCCTTATTACTCCTCAGGTTTACCCGCACTGATTGTGGCCATTTCCGTTGGATTTACTAAAGCTAAAGGATATGGAACAGCTAATTAGTAAGTATGTTTAGAAAAGTGCTCTTTGCAAAATTGCTTTGATACAGCTACACCATCCAGGACTTCACACTACATTATTTATTCCAACATATCACTGAGGCCTCTTCTTCCAACCAAATTAAGTGAAATATAACATATTGCTACAGTCCTTCTAAGCCACTAAATGTGGTCGGTCAGTTCAGAGACACCAGCTATGATCTCAAAAGCTGATGGTGATTAGTTTTATTAAGAAAATGATAAAAATTACAAAGGAAGCAATGCAATGACTAGTGCCCATGATATTGTCAGTCTAATATCACAGGTTCTACTCAAATGTTGAATTTGTCATTTTTTCAATAGAACTGTTTTACCTTGTTTACTCATGCCAGTTATTCCCATGGTTACTAGCAGCTGAGAATCAAGCTATTGGAAAACCAGCACTTGCAGCCTAAGAAGCCAGTGGTCTTCAGCTTTTAACTGCTCTGTGTCCTCTACCTCTAACTTTAGCTTCCTTACTAGTTAACAGAATTTTGGTGATATATGAGAGACTTATCACTAGATTCTCCAGTTTATTATCTGATAATATCAAAATGATAACGTCAGAGGTGCAAATGACATCACTGTGTGTAAAGGAAGCAATGTGTTGCTATGACTGAGGTTGGAGGATTGAATTGTCTCTTTACTCCCTGTACTGTCATTACTTGTAATGTGAACTTAAATTGCTTTACCCAGTTACTAATATGGCAGTTACATTACGTTATTAGATTGAGAATGAAAATTGAGACTGACAACCAGATTTCTTTAATAAACAAAATTATTGAACTATTGTGAAAACAGGACTTATTTGGCCAAGATATAACGCTGATTGAGACTGCTGGAAATGGGAATGTATAAATGTTTACCCTTTTGATCAATCCAACACACATACACACACCAATTAAAAGAAAAAAAGGACTTCCTATGCAGAGATTAATTTTGAAAAACATTTCGGCCAATAATTGTTAGATCTTGATAGGCTAAAGGATAAGGTATGAAATCTGGTTTTCAGTCAGCATCCTGGCGCATGTAGATAGGTATCATTAAACACATAGTTGTAATTATGACCTTTAAATGTAGTTCATTGAGGAGATGTCAAGAGTTTAAAGACTTTTCAAAACAACTGTACCAGCTTTTGAGGTTGTACAATGGACTCTCCAAAAGAGTTTTTTCTCAAAATTAAAGGATGAGCTTGGTAGCATCTCTCATTCTGCAGGCTCTAACCCAATTGAACTCCAAACAATATCTAAAGCAAATCCATAAACCCAAGCACATGACTTCCAGATACAAGCCCAAGCAGTTAGCTTAATTCATGTGATTTCCAAGAAGCATGTTTTTCAAATATCCCAGTGTCCTTTCAGTGACTTCTTTTTTTCAAACAAGAAACAGGTTTCTCTTCAGCACTCCAAATGAACCACCATTCATGATCCTTTAAACATGAATAAAAAATGCATCTGCATAAGTGTGTACAGGGTTAAACTATGCAAGAACTGGCCTCTGGACTTATTTAGGGCAACAGACCAAATCATTTTTTTTAAATTCAAGTGATCCAAATTGGTTTTTCCTGACAATCAATTCACAGTCATCATTAGATTCTTAATTCCAGATATTTTATTGTTTTGTTATTATCTGGGTCTCTGGATTAACAGTCCAGCAATAATACCACTACACCATCGCCTCCCCTCAGTTTAGAGACTTTCAGACACATTCTTTAGTGATGAAGATCACAGTTTCAATTATGAGAGACTGTAACCTGATCTTCTCAAAAATGCTCTTTAATGATGGTATGCACAAAATAACAAATAGAGACAGCAAAGCAGAAAAATATGTTTCAATGCCCAACGTATAACAATATTCTGCATTTGTGCAGCACCATTAATATAATGAATAGCCCCAAGGTATTTCATAGGAGTATTAAAAAATGAAGCATGATACCTACGACATACAGTGAAATTATGACTACATCACCAAAACCTTGATGAAAGAGGAATGTTTTAAGGAGAGCCTTAAAGGAAGAAAGCAAAGTACAGAAGCATAGAGGTGTAGAGAGGCTAGTTAATATTTTTAAACCTAGTTAATTGAAGGCATTTACACTAATAGTGCAGCAATTAACAATGGGTTTCACAAGATACTAGATTTGGAGGAGTGCAGATATCCCAAAGGGTTGTGGGAGTGGAGGAGATTACAATGATAGGGACAGGTAAAGTCACGGAGGTATTTGAAATCAAAGATGAGAGGTTTCGAATCAAGAAATTGCTTGACTGACAGCGCAGGAGTGATAAAGAAGAAAACATTGAATTAAATCATGTGCAGCAGAGTTTTGGATGACCTCAAATTTATGCACAGTAGAATGTGAGACAATCCAGAACTGTCTCAGAATAATTGAGTCTATAGGCACTGAAGGAATAAGTGAAGATTCAGCAGCAGATTAGCTGAGATTGGCAAAATCAAGTGATTGCAATGGAGCTGGGTATAGGTGATTTTAGCGATGTTGCGGATGTGAGGTTGGATGTTCATTACAGAATGAAGTATGACAACAAGATTGCAAACACTAGGTGGAGAGACAAAGCAGGTAGCTGGGAAATGGTGATAACAAGGTGTAGAGCTGGATGAACACAGCAGGCCAAGCAGCATCAGAGGAGCAGGAAAGCTGATGTTTCGGGTCGAGACCCTTCTTCAGAAATGGGAGAGGGGAAGGGGATTCTGAAATAAATAGGGAGAGAGGGGGAGGCGGATAGAAGATGGATAAAGGAGAAGATAGGTGGAGAGGAGACAGACAGGTCAAAGAGGCGGGGTTGGAGCCAGTAAAGGTGAATGTAGGTGGGGAGTTAATGAGGGGATAGGTCGGTCCAGGGAGGACGGACAGGTCAAGGAGGCGGGATGAGGCTCGTGGGTAGAAGCTTGAGGGGGGAGGAATGGTTAGGGAGGCGTGGACGAGCTGGGCTGGTTTTGGGATGCGGTCGGGGGAGGGGAGATTTTGAAGTTTGTGAAATCCACATTGATACCCTTGGGCTGCAGGGTTCCCAAGCGAAATATGATATGCTGTTCCTACAGCCTTCGGGTGGCATCATTGTGGCAATGCAGGAGGCCCAGGATGGACATGTCGTCCAAGGAGTGGGAGGGGGAGTTGAAATGGTTCGCGACTGGGAGGTGTTTGTTGCGAACCGAGCGTAGGTGTTCCACAAAGCAGTCCCCAAGCCTCCGCTTGGTTTCCCCGATGTAGAGGAGGCCACAACGGGAACAGCGGATACAATATACCACATTAGCAGATGTGCAGGTGAATGTCTGTTTGATGTGGAAGGTCTTCTTAGGGCCTGGGATGGGGGTGAGGTGTAGAGGCAGCTGTAGCACTTGCTGCGGTTGCAGGGAAAAGTGCCAGGGGTGGTAGGGCTTGTGGGGAGTATGGAGCGGACAAGGGAGTCACGGAGAGAGTGGTCCCTCTGGAAAGCAGATAAGGGTGGGGAGGGAAAAATGTCTTTGGTGGTGGGGTCAGATTGCAGATGGCGGAAGTGTCGGAGAATGATGCGTTGGATCCGGAGGTTGGTGGGGTGGTACGTGAGGACGAGGGGGATTCTGTTTTGGTTGTTATTGCGGGTAGGGGGTGTGAGGGATGAGTTGCAGGAAATGCGAGAGACACGGTCAAGGGTGTTTTCGACCACTGTGGAGGGGAAGTTGCGGTCCTTGAAAAATGAGGACATCTGGGATGCCCGGGAGTGGAATGCCTCATCTCAGGAGCAGATGCAGCGGAGGCGAAGGAATTGGGAATAGGGGATGGCCTTTTTGCAGGAAGGTGGGTGAGAGGAGGTGTATTCTAGGTAGCTGTGGGAGTCGGTAGGCTTGAAATGGATATCGGTTTCTAGGTGGATGCCAGAGATGGAGACAGAGAGGTCCAGGAAGGAGAGAGAGAGGTATCAGAGATGGTCCAGGTGAACTTAAGGTTGGGGTGGAAGGTGTTAGTAAAGCGGATGAGTTGTTTGAGCTCCTCGTGGGAGCATGAGGCGGCGCTGATACAGTAATTGATGTAATGGAGGAAGAGATGGGGGATAGCGCCACTGTAGCTTTGGAAGAGGGATTGTTCCACGTATCCTACAAAGAGGCAGGCATAGCTTGGGCCCATGCGGGTACCCATGGGAAATGGTGTTTGGAATGGGGATCACAAATAATGGGCTTCAAATCTTTCCAATTTTTAATTGAAGGAATCTCTCCTGTCCCAGTACTGGATGTTAGAAAAGCGCATTAATAATTTAGCGACAGTGCAGGGATCGAGGGAGACCTTCTTCAGTGGTATCAGGGTACATGTAAAAACCAATGCCATGCCTCCAGATAATGTGTCCGAGGGGCAGCACATTGATGGGGAACAGAAGTGGGCCATGGATTTACTTTTGGGGTCACCAGAAGTGACGGTATAGGAGCATGAAGAGAAGTCATTGCAATTGATACAGTATCATATTAATTAGAATTAGAAATAGAACACACAAATAAAGTTTGACCTTACAGGAACTCCTTCTAAAATTGAAGTCTCCAGTGTGTCTGATCATTTGAGTAATTTTGAAAACCCTGTAGTGAGGTTCTCCAATGTGATACCACTTTTAAAATGCGTATGCCTCACTAATCCTTTTGAAAATGATTTTTGTCCTGGTAGAACTCCTCCTCAGTTGGATGCCTCCAGAGATGCACCCTTCTTGTTGAATTTTTCATGGGGGCTGTTTTGTCATTGGAACCACTTTTAGGGCCTGTATCTTACCAAGGGGAACTTCAAAAATGCTCAGTGATGAGATCTGTTTTTGTAAAGATGAAACTTCCTACTGCCTTTCCTAGGCTTCATTATTAAGATATCTTAATTGTAAAGAATTACTATCATTTACCCCAATAACTAGTTGCCATTGTAGAAAGGGCACTGTTAATTATTTGTGACCAGTCCAGTTTACATTATTGTATTGCACAGTGCATCTCTTAAGACATTTGAAGTTATTTTCTTCGTTTTT